TACCCCCCTCCACCCCCTGCCCCCCCCCCCCCAAAAAAAACAAATAAATTTGGTTACAAGATAGGTATCTTAGGGTTTTTATTACTGTGAAGAGACACCATGAGCATGACAAATCTTACAAGGAAAACATTTAATTGGAGTGGCTTGCTTGCAATTTCAGAGGTTCCGTCAATTATCATCTTGGCAGAACATGGCATTGTGCAGGCAGATGTAATACTGGAGGAGTAGCTGAGAGTCCTATATTTTGCAGGCAACAGGAAGTCAACTGAGACACTGGCCAGTATCCTGAGCATAGGAAACTTCAAAGCCCACCCCCACAGTGACACACTTTTCCAACAAGGCCATACCCTCTCTCACAAAGCCACACTTCCTAACAATGCCACTCCCTGTGAGATTAGGGCCAATTATATTCAGACTGCTATATTCTACTAACAAGCCAGCATTCTTCCATGGTCTCTATCAGCTCCTGCCTCTGGGTTCCAACCCTGCTTGAGTTCCTGTCTGACCTCCTTCCAATGATGTGGAAGTATAAATTAAATAAACCCTTTCCTCCCCAAGTAGCATTTTGGTCATGATGTTTTGGCAAGCAATAGAAACCCTAAGACAGTAGGTTTTTATAGGTCTCTGATTTGGTTAGTTCCCCCTCCCCCATCATGTTTCTCTTGCTTAAGTCTTTCTAGCACCAGTAATTCCCCCTCTGCTTTTGTATTATTTACATTTTACTGCCTCCTCCTTTAAGGCATTTCCCTCCCAATGCCTCTTTGTTTACTTTTCTTTGCTGGAGGCAGGGGAGTTTTGAGACAGGGTTTGTCTTAGTAGCTTTGTAGACCATGCTGGCCTCTGCAGTACCACCGCAGGTCCCAATGCCTCTTTGTAATTTCCTAGTCCCAGCTGCTCTAGAGCTCACTATGTAGACCAGGCTGGCCTCAAACTCAGAGAGATACTCCTGCCTCTTTCTCCTGAGTGCAGGGATTAAAGGTATGGGCTACCACCTCCGGCCTGACACGTGCAGACTTAGCGTTTGGAAGCTAGAGTCTACATGAAGGAGATTTTTTTTTTTTTTTTTTGTGCCTAGTCTAATTCTCTTAGTATAATTTTCTGTGCTTTCATCCAGTTGCCTGCAAATTTTGTAATTTCATTTTATTTAGACCTGAATAAGAGTCCATTGTGTGTATGTTCCATATTTCCATTATCCATTCATTAGTTGATAGACATGCAGGCCTTTTCTATTTCCAGATATTTCGAATAGAGCAACAGTGAACTTGGATGAGCAAAATAGTAACTTATAGTAGGTTATATATCCAGGAGAAGAATACCTGGATCACATGTAGTTCTGCCTCTGGCTTTTTGAGTAATCTCCACACTGATTTTCATAGTGTCTGTACCAGTTTACATTCCCACCAAGAGTGACTTCTTGTCAGCCTTTGTTAGTGATTTCTTTTCTTTCCTTGTCTTCTTTCTCTCTCCCTCAACCCCTCCCTGTCTCCCCTCTCCCCTTTTGTAGAAACAGGGTTTCTCTAGGTAGCCTCTTCTGTCCTGGAACTTGCTCTGTAGACCAGGCTGGCTTTGAACTCAGAGTTCCACCTGCCTTTGCCTCCCAAGTACTGGGATTAAAGGTGTGCTCGGCCACTGTCCAGTTGTTAATGATTTCTTGATGACAGCCATACTGAATGGGTGAGATGGAACCTCAAAGTGGTTAACAATGTTGAAAACATTTTATTTGCCATTCATATTCTTCTCTTGAGAATTTACTTTCAGGTCTTTTTTTAAATATAATTTTTGTTTTATGTTAATGAGTGTTTAGCCTACACATATGTGCACCATATGGGTTCCTAGTACTCAAGGAGGTCAGAAGAGGGTATTTAATTCTTTGGAACTGGAGTTACAAACTATTGTGAGGTGCTGGGAACTGAACCTGGGTCCTCTGCAAAAGCCACAGTTGCTCTTAACTACTTAGCTGTCTTAGTAATTGTTCTTTTGCTGAGATAAAACACCATGACCAAGGCAACTTGTAGAATAAAGCATTTAATTGGCAGTTTGCTTGTGTTTCAGAGGGTTAGTACATGAGCATCATAGCAGGGAACACAGTTGGCAGGCGGGCAGGCAGGCATGGTACTTGATCAGTATTTGATACACGATCAGTTTTTGAGATCATTTAACGTCTGATTGGAAAATTGTAGGCAGACAGAGAAAAACTGGGTTTTGTGTGGCTTTTGAAAAGCCATTTAGAATCATGAAATACAGATTTCATTTTCCTTGACAGAAAGGGTACAGTCATTTTTTATTGATTCTATCGTTTTATTTTCCAAAGTTTTAGTCTCTTAAATTGGGGTTGTTTTCATTTACTGACACTTTTGAAGGTTAATTTAGAAGAAGGGCAAATAATACCTACCTTTAAGTGTCAATTTACATTTAAATGTTAAGATGATATGTGTGGCACATGTAAAAGTTCATAGGCTGGGCAGTCTTTATAAACATTAGTAGTTACCACTGTTAGAGAAGGAGTCCTCTCTGTCCTTCTTTCTCCTACCTTTCATTCTTCCACCTTTTTCCTAGGGGCAGCCAGTGTTACCAGTTACCAGCTCACTTGTGTATTTTACCCATTTTTTTTCAACATTTGCTTATGTTTATATTCATAGACCATATTGTGTTTTTGTGTTGACACTTTGCCTAATTTTTGCCCTCACTAGTATAAATTTCTTCTTTATTTATTTTTCTCTTTTTCTGTTTTCAGTGGAAGAAAGCAGAGGAGAAACTGGAGCGGGAACTTCGGGAAGCTGAAGCTTCGGAGAGCACCGAGAGAAAGCTGAAGCTGGTGAGCAGCTCCATTCTGTCATACTCCCGGAGTGATTTTAATTATAATTTGTTTCAACTTAAAGTTAGATCATTTTGGTTTATTTCGTGAATCTTAGGTAGATGGTGTTCATGACATATAAGAAAGTGCAATGTGATGCATGCCAGGGAAAAGAAAGTTGTGATTATTCTAACTCTCAGAGAGAGCTGCCAGAGAGTTCTAAGGTGTTCTTGTCTCCTTTCTCTGACAGCACACAGAGACTCTGAACATAGTGTTTGTGACCTACTTCAGAATATTGAAGAAGGCCCAGAGGTCACCTCTTCTGCCAGCGGTTCTAGAAGGTCTTGCCAAGTAAGGGCTGTGTAGATGACTGAACCCTTTAGATGTAAATACATATTGGCAACATAGCTTTGACTCTCAGAGTGTCCCCTGATGCTGTCCTAATGCTCTTCTCCACTTCTCATTCCTTTCGATTCTGCCCCCTTTCCTTGTGGGCCTTTTGCTTTCCTCATTTCAAATTTTTTATAATTTCTCATTTTTTCTTTCTGCTTAATATGTTTCTGGCATCCCTAAGGTTCAGCTCTCAGTTCTTGATTTTGTTTTGTTTTATTTGTGTTCATGTGTGCCTGTGCACCATGAAATGAAAACCCTTTCTCATTTTAAATTCTGGTTAATAATGCCACATTGTTTCCCACAAGATTGGTAGCAACAGGTGTGGAATCTCTGACTTTTTTGTTCAGAGGTTTATACAGCTTTAACAGACTTCTGTACCTGATGTTTGCTAGTGTACATCTAGTAGCTGAGAAGATTCCTGAACTCTGCTGCCTAAGTTGTTTCAGAAATAGAGGCCCAGGGCAGTCAAGTAATGCAACGTAGCGTCACATAGTCATAGTAGCAGAACTTTAGTCACCACCACTCCAACAGGTTTTCCATTTTATTTTCAAGCGGTCATAGTGTCCATAGTCCCAGGTTAAAGACCAGGGATCAAACCTGAGACCTCGTATGTGTACCAACTGTAGCTCTCTCAACCCCAAAAGTCCATGTTCTTATAAATGGCTGAATCCTTTCATCCTTTCTCTCTCTCTCTCTCTCTCTCTCTCTCTCTCTCTCTCTCTCTCTCTCTGTTTTTAGAGACAGGGTTTTTCTGTGTAACATCTCTGGCTGTCCTGGAACTCATTCTGTAGACCAAGTTGGCCTTGAACTCACAGAGGTCCACCTGCCTCTGCCTCCTAAGTGCTGGAATTAAAGGCGTGTGCCACCACTGCCCAACAGAATCCTTTCTTTTTTCTGCTTTCTGTTTCCTGAGAGCTTATTTCTGCTGACTCCTTATGATTTGTAGAAACTTAATGCATTTAGTTAGGGCAGTTGTTTGCTCTTGGTAACTTGTTTCTCAGGATATCATATTTTTTTTACTGAGGCCTCATTTATTCCTACCAAGTATAACATTCAGCCATGTGAAGAATTGTGTAAAAGGTCAGTTTGAATTAAGTGAAAGCTGTCAGTGATCACTTATTTCCATTATGACTAACAACTTGAAATGAGTAATATTTAAAATACAATTTTAAAGTCAAGCTATTTTTACTTGCTTTATTTCTGCTTTTGGATTATTTAGTAACTAAGTTTTATTTGATTCTAGGTTTGCACATCTTATAAATGTGGAATTTTTTGATGATTTATTAGTGGTTCTTCATACCCTCATTGAGTCTGGTGTAAGTAACTCCACCAGTGAATTACTTTTTAAAGATATAAATGGCAACTGTCATTCTCATTTATTATTATTATTTTTTAAGGACCTGAGTTATCAAGAAAGTCTTCACTGTGTTCAAACTGCTTTTCATATTCTTTCTGGGCAAGGTGAGTTACGGTCTTAGGTTTTATTTGCTTTGTCACTGAAGACTGTAATTTAACCTAATTGTGTTTGTTGTCATCTCAAAGGTGATGTTCTAAATATCGACCCGATGAAATTCTATACACATCTCTACAAAACGTTGTTTAAATTACATGCAGGTATGTTTTTAGAAGATACTTGTTTGGTACATATGTATAATATGTTATGATCATAATTGTAGCCGACGAGAAATAGGATCTGGTGCATAAAAATGCTGACATGCTCTTGCCATGAACCTGTTAATGTTATGTAAGATGTGGGGTTGAAAGAACATTTGGGGTTGACAGGAAATGCTTCCTAGAGCATCTCTAAGTATTGCTCTACTGACTAGAAGATGGTTTGCAGCAGGTGTGAGAATTCATTTTGTGGATTTTCTGGGGTTTAGAAGGTTGTATAGTGAAAACAATGAGAACGACACTGAAGGACGTCTGTTTTAGGTGCTACCAACGATGGTATTGAGATTGTACTCCACTGCCTTGATGTCATGCTAAGCAAGCGCAGAAAGCAGGTTTCTCATCAGCGAGCTCTTGCCTTCATCAAGCGCCTTTGTACGCTTGCTCTGCAGGTTCTTCCAAATTCAAGCATTGGCCTTTTAGCAACTACCAGAATACTGATGCATGTAAGTAGTGGTGTGAAGAAGTAGAGCCGAGTTCCCTTTCACCTGAATAGTTACCATTATTACTCAATTCATTCATACCCAGGTGCAGTAGTTTTCATGCCTACAGTTATGCTAATGTGAGAGGACAGCTCAAGCCCAGGAGTTTTAAGCCAGCTTGAACAGCAGACTGAGAGCCTGTCTTTCTCTTTGAATCAGGATCTCACTGTGTAGTTCTGACTGGCCGGGAACTAGCTATGCAGGCCAGCCTGGCCTCAGACTCACAAACATCCAATGCTTTTGCCTCCCAGGTGGTGGGATTAAAGGCATGTGGCACCAGCATAGTGAGATTACATTTCTTTTAAAAGGGGGGAAAAAAGAAATCCACATTTGTAATAAAATCAGGTGCTAATTTTCATCACCTGGTATCTGTCATTACTGTCCTGTGTAAGGAAGGGCCTGCACTACACACAAACAGCATTTGTTGTCATGGAAAGGAGATGATGTGAATTATGCAATATACTGTTTTCAGATTGTATAATGATAGACATTTTATGTTTTTAATGATTAAAGCTTTTTCATTCTTTAGCAAACACAATTCTTACAGTGCACCTGACATTGTTGCAAGCACTTCACAAACAATTAGTTTTTATAACTCAGCTAGCTCTAGCAATTCTTACCTGTCCTGCTTCATAGCTGGGACAAGGGTGAAGAGGAGGGAAGTGACTCAACGCAGCCACAGTGCTGATGAACTGTAAAAGTGGAGTGGCCAGCGCGCTCTAGTTACTGCCCAGCCTGCGGCCGCTTGCACTGTACTCAATAAACTATTGTGAGTTAAGAAACAGGTAGAAGTGGGAGTCACACTCATGGCTTGGCTTTTTTATGCTTCTTTGTTTTTAATGAATATAGAAATTGCTCTTATAAATGATGCTGTAGATATTTCTATCTTAAAGTGAGATTGGAAGGTGGGAAGAATATACCATCTTTGCAGATTTGGTAAATCTTTCCAAACCAAGACATTGTTTCGTGATACAGATGCAAATTATTTCTCATTAACACATAACTCATTAACATTAAAACTGCAAATTTAAATACAAGTATAGGTCAGTTACATTCTTTGAACTAACTTAGTTAATTCTTCACTTTAATGTGATGTTTTTGCAGACTTTTCCCAGAACGGATCTGTTGCTTGATAACGAGTCTCAGGGCAGTGGGGTGTTCCTGCCTGAGCTGGAGGAGCCAGAGTACTGTAACGCCCAGAACACCGCGTTGTGGGAGCTGCATGCACTTCGGGTAAGGGCCCTTCTCCCCTCTTTCCTCCACTCCCCTCTCCCCACTTGCCCTTTTCTTCCTTCCTCTCATCATTTTTTGTGAATGAGCAATGTGTTTTCACCTTTTCCTCAAGTATTATTGCCAGAGTGCTCATGAATGTGTTCTGGAACCTTGCTTTAACCCTATATTCCTTAAGCTGTTGAGTGTATTTTCTAAAACAGGAGAGTGGTGGTAATTTTATAATGAGTTTATGGAGATTTATTGAAGGCTCCCTAACACTGTTCAGAAAAAAAAAGGAGATTTATTTACTTATTTATTATTTGTTCATTATTTATTAATTTTTTTGGGGGGGTTTCAAGGCAAGGTTTCTCTGTGGCTTTGGGGGCTCTTGTAGACTAGGCTGGTCTGGAACTCACAGAGATCTGCCTGCCTCTGCCTCCCGAGTGCTGGGATTAAAGGCATGCGCCACTACCACACGCCTAAAAAGAGAATTTATTATCAAGCACATATATACTGTATTGAATCGTGTCCAAGGAGGTTTGGTAGACTCCATTGCAAAGTAGCTTCACCTACAGTGCCAGAATCCTATAGTGAGGCCAGCATTAGAGTGAGCCTTATAGAAACTGTGGTAAATTTTTTACTATTTTTATTTTTTACTATGAAATGAAACTGTCTTTTGGTAGTTCTCTTTATGCTGTTAACTTGGTCATTTCACAGATGTTTATTTATTTATTTATTTTTTACATTGTTTTGTGGATGAGTGTTTTGTCTGCATGTGTGTCTCTGTACCGTGTTTATACAGTGCTCATGGAGACAAAAGAGGGCATTGGTTCCTCTTGGAATTAGCTCCCATATGGGTTCTGGGAATCCAACCCTGCTCCTCTGGAAGGGCAGTCAGTGCTCTTACCACTAAGCCATCTCTCCAAATATGTATTTAATCCTGAAACAAAGGTAGTACTCTGCTTTATGTTTTGAGACAGGGACTCTCCATGTAACCCTGGCCGCCCAAGAACTCAGAGATCTCTGTGAGACCTCTGTCTCCCAAGTGGTGATACTAAGGATGTGCTTCACCACACCTGGCTAGTAATACTCTTTTAGACTTTTTAAAAGTTTACTTTTTGAAAACTAAAGTATAATTACATCATTTCTCCCTTCCCTTTTATCTCTCCATCCCTTCTCAAGTCCATCTCTCCTAGCTCCCTCTCAAATTAATGTTTTCTTCCTTTGTTTATATATACACATATATTTAATTGTTTACATATTTATATCATGTATATATATATACACACATGTATATACATACACTTGTATATATACATACACACATACATACACAAATTATATTTAATATAAATGTATAAATACATGCACATACATAAATACAACTTGCCAAGACTGTTTATTGTTGCTTTATGGGCTGACCTCTTGGTATTGGATAACCAGTTAAAGGGATCAACCCTGGGAAAGACTTAACTCTCCCACTCTCTGTGTTCCTTAGTTACCCGTAGTTCTTTGCCTAGGAGTAGGGCCCTTGTCAGAGTCCCCTTCCACATTAGCCTGTCTCTTGGATGCTGTCCTTGTTCAGATCTTGTTAAGGCAGCCAGCCATACTGTTGAAGTACAAAGGGTGAAGCTTCCCTGTCATTTGTAGGAGACGTAATCTCACAGCAATTTCCTGGTCTAAAGGTGATGAATGTGTGTGTTTTGAATGATTTGTGTAAATGTTTCTGTTTTTTGTTTGTTTGTTTGTTTGTTTTTATAGTTGTAAAATAAGCTGTGGCTTGTGTTTTTGAAAGTACTGACCTGTGAATGTTTCTTTTCCTCTTCAGAGACATTACCATCCTGTTGTGCAAAGATTTGCAGTTCACCTACTTGCTGGGGCACCGTCTGAAGGCTCCGAGGCCCTCAAGCCTGAGCTGAGCCGAAGGTAGCCTTTGACAGTGCATTGCTTTATGTTTCTGCTTTTTGAGACAGGTTCTCACTATGTCACCTTGGCTGGCCTGAAACTCAGATATCCACTGGATTTTGCCTCCCAAGGCTATAACTAAAAACATGTGTCACCTGGCCTGTTTTTGTTTTGTTTTGTTTTTTGTGTTTGGAATCAAACACAAAGAACCAATTTCTATTCTAAGACTTAAAATACCCTGAATCTGGTCTTTGTCCTTTTATACTCTGTGTGTGTGTGTGTGTGTGTGTGTGTGTGTGTGTGTGTGTGTGTGTGTGTGTGTGTGTGTGTGTGCGCGCGCGCGCGCGCGCGCGCGTACATACTTGTGTACAGGAGCTTAGGGAGGCTAGGGGTCAGATTGTGTGTTGTTCCTCTGAAGCCATCCACCTTATATTTTTGAGACAGGATCTAGACTTGCCGGCCATCGAACCCTTGCTATCCTGATTCTCAGTCTTTCCAGTTTAGGATTACAAATAAGTACATCTGATTTCCTTCCTTCCTTCTTTCCTTCCTTCCTTCCTTCCTTCCTTCCTTCCTTCCTTCCTTCCTTCCTTCCTTCCTTCCTTTTAAAGGTAATGACTAGGATTGAACTCACGTTCTCATGCTTGCATGATAAGTACTTTAGCAACTAGCTATCTGCCCAGCCCCAGGCTTTTCTTTTCTTTTTTTTTATAAGCCCATAGATTTCTTTAATTTAGATACCATATGATTGTAGGCTACTAATTTCATACTGTTCTTAAATTCTGAACAAAAATGGAAGAAATTCGTATTTTTGTTTGATTGAGACGGGGTCCATGGAGCCCAGGGTGGCCACGTTTCTGTATGATGACCTTACACTCTTGATCCTCTTCACTCCACCTCCCAAGCACTTGGGATTACAGGTGTGCACCACTATGCCTGACTAGTTGTGACCTTTTAAGATCGGAAGAATTCACTTAAAGTTCACTTTTCATGTTTGTCTTTAAATACTGGATTTGGTAATTTCATTACCAAATTGAAAAAAAACTTTTTAGATTCATTTATGTGTATGAGTGTTTTGCCTACACATATGTCTCTGCACCACGTGTGTGCTGGGTGCTCCATTGGGTCAAAAAAGTACATCAGATTCCCTGAAACTGGAGTTGCAATGGTTTCGAATTGAACCTGGTCCTCTGCAAGAGCAAGTGCTCTTAACCACTGAGCCATCTCTCTCTTCAACCCCTATTTTGTACTTTTAAATTGCCAATATAGTTAGCTGCTGTGCCCTCCAAATGAGGCTCAGCATTGCTGTTTTCTATGAGCCCTTTGTGGAAAAAAGAGTTAATGTTTGGTCAGAAATACTGAGGCTGCCTTTTCTTTTTCACAGCTTCCCATGTCTGCCACTAGCCTTGCTCCTTTTCTTTTCCTTTCCTTTCCTTTCCTTTCCTTTCCTTTCCTTTCCTTTCCTTTCCTTTCTTTTCTTTTTTCTTTTCGCATTGCAAGGAACATAAGCAAAGACCTGGCATGTGCTGGGTAAGCACTGCTCATTGAGTCACAGCCTCACTGACTCCTAACATTGGACTTTTAAAAAAAGGGAAAAGAGTACATTCTTTTTTGGTGATGTTGCTTGGGGTTTTTTGGTGGTATTGTTTGGGGTTTTTTGTTTGTTTGTTTGTTTGCTTGTGTTTGGGAGTTTTCCTGTAGCTTTGGAGCCTGTCCTGGAACTCGCTCTGTAGACCAGGCTGGTCTCAGACTGATGGAGAGATCCACCTGCCTCTGCCTCCCCAGTGCTGGGATTAAAGGCCTTTGCCACCAAGCCTGGCTAGTTTGTATCTCAAATGAATGAACTGAATGGTTGAATGTTTGATATTATTCTTCAGATACAGTGTAGCTCTTAGAGTTATAAAATAATGGTGTTATCTTTACATATCTTATATTTTTTAAAACTATAGATCTGCAGTTGAACTTTTTGAGGCTTACAGCATGGCAGCAATGACATTCAACCCTCCTGTTGAACCTTCAAACTCCAAAAAGAAGGTATGTGATAACTTTTTTAAATAGAGGGAATATCAGTGTGTCAGTTCAACTCTGCCAGTTTTCTTTTTTCTCCTTTTTTTGAGACAGAGTATTGCTTTATAATCCAGGCTGACCTCGAATTTATTATTGTCTTGCCTTAGCCTCCCATGAATTGAGACTTACAGGTATTGACCACAAAGGCCTGGCTCTAGGAGTTGAGAGTGGGTTGGATGCATGGGGCTGAAATTCTAGAGATGGTTGGTGAGACTTTCATTTAGTGTAGGGTACATCTGAGATCTGACTGGATAGCTCTCATTACTCTATTTCTTTTTTGTTGTTTTTGTTTGTTTGTTTTGAGACAGAGTTTCACTGTGTATAGCTCTGGCTGGTCTGGAACTCACTTTTTCCTTGAACTCACAGAAGATCCACCTGCCTCTGCCTCCCAAATGCTGAGAGTAAAGGATTATTGTGCCACCACCATCTGGCACAATGTGACCAGTTTTAACTGTTAATTTTAATATTTTTTCCAGGATAAACTTTTACAAGGGGACTCATTTTTGAATGAAGATTTAAATCAACTAATCAAAAGATATTGCAATGAAGTTACTACTGAGATACCACTGGATTTCACCAAATGTTTGAAAACATCTGTACAGTAGTACAAAGGTGAAGAGTCAGTGGACTGTCTTATATATCTGTATGTGTCTGTGCAGCTACACGAGGGCCTTTTTCTTTGTGTTGAAGGAAAACTTCCTAAGGATGACTATAGGATGACTGAAGCAGAGCCCACAGAAGACACTGCTGTTGGTTTGCTGTTTATGGCTTGCTTTTATGTACAGCCCCGGCCAACTTGCTCAGGAGTGGCACTGTCCACTATGGGCTGGGCCCTACCACATTAGTCACTAATTCTATAAATGCCCTACAGACATGCCCACAGGCAAGTCTGATGGAGGCAGTTCTTCAATTAAGGTTCCCTCTTCATGGGTGACTTTAGTGTATGTCAAGTTGACAAAAACTAAACAAGACGATTTTTAAATCCTCTTTACAAGTAAATATTGTTATTGCAGCATCATAAATGAAAGCAAATAATACATAGATTTTGTAAAGATTTTTTAAAAATTAGCTTAAGATTTAGACTCTTGTTCATTGGCTGTTGTTGAATGATACTCATAAGGAATAAGCAAATCTGACCTTTAAAAAGGAATGGGTATTGGGGGGGTGGGAGGGGCGGGGAGCACTCAGGAGGCAGAGGCAGACAGATCTTTGAGAGTTCAGAGCCAGTCTGGTCTAAAGAGTGAGTTCCAGGACAGCCAGAACTGTTACAACAAGAAACTCTGTGTCAAAGAAACAAAACAAAAAACCAACAAGGAGGACAGATGAGTGCACTTATGATTAGTTTCAAAGAAAGTTTGGATGAGATTCTAGACTCTGAAGTTGTGTTTATTTTTTTTACATGAGAGTGATGGGGGGAAGTTGCTCAGTAGGACAAAAACAGGTCTGAGAATTCCATTGTGCTGTAGGGACATTGGTTCCCTACAAATAGTAAAGTGTTTTTCTTCTATATTCTTACAGATAAAAACTGTACATGCCTATATAGAGAGTTATAAAGCACTATTTTATATCATAGCCATTGGCATATTGTAGAGATGATTTATAAAATGTGTACATAAATATTTTCTGCTACTAATAGTTGAATAAAGTAGCTTCCTTTTGTACTGCATAGTCTTGTGAGTTTTTGATTGTTTTTTATTGTTAGTGAAAAGCAGTTCAGCTAAATAGACTGTTAATTCAACAGTCAATCCTCTGGGACTTAGAGCTCTTTCCTCATGAAGATGTGAAAAAATTCCCTTACTGTCCTGCAGAGTAAGGAACAGTGACTCCTTTTGAGAATTCAGCTGGGTGTGTGGGTGTCTGGACAGAGACAGGTTGACAGCTATTGGAGGAGAGAGCAATGGGAGACAATTAACTAGCTGGATTTGAATATGTGAGTTTTTTGTTTTTTGTTTTTTTCCCTCGAGACAGTGTTTCTCTGTGGCTTTGGAAGCTGTCCTGGAACTAGCTCTTGTAGACCAACCAGGCTGGTCTCAAAATCACAGAGATCCTCCTGCCTCTGCCTCCCGAGTGCTGGGACTAAAGGCGTGTGCCACTGCTGTCTGGCATGAGCATATTCTTTTATTGAGTTCCAGAAGTAAAAGTAAGTCTATTTTGTTTTGTTTTGTTTTTGTTTTTGTTTTTCTTTTTTCTTAATTCAGCGTCTCGCCTTATAGCTTGGGCAGTCCTGGAACTCAGAGATATGCCTGCCTCTGCCTGGGATTAAAGGCATGCACCACCATACCCAGCCTAAAAATATTTCTGGAGCTACATTTTTAAGGTTTTATTGTTTTTTTTGTTTTGAGACAGGGTCTCTTTGTGTAGTCCTAGCTGTCCTGGAACTCCCTATATAGACCAGGCCAGCCTTGAATTCACAGAGAGGCTCTTGGCTCTGCTGCCAGCTACCACACCCAGCTAAGGCTTGATTATTGATGATGAGAAAATGTATGGTTCATCATAGAAGCCCCAGTGTTTGAATAATAATAAAAAAAAAATCCAGGAATGTTAGAAATATTTGTACAACCCAAAGATCTGTCTGTATGCCATAAGTCAATTATTTCTTTTTTTTTTTTTTTTTTTTGAAATTTAAAAAATCATAAAGCAAAGGGAGGGAGGGGAGGGGGGGGAAGCCTCTGTGATAGACAAGTTTAAGAAAAGAAATTGTTTAGCAGAGAGGTGGAAGAAGGGCACACACCATTAGTCCCAGCACTCAGGAGGCAGAGACAGGCAGATCTTTGTGAGTTCGAGACCAGCCTGGTCTACACGAGCTAGTCCCAGGACAGCCTCCAAAGT